TTTAAATAGTTAATTTAATACTAATATCGAAAAAAAAAATTCAAAGTTTTATGATATCTTCAAATTTATATTTTATTCAAAAATTAAAACATTATTACTTTCTCAAAACCATGTAAAACCGTATTATATTGATAAGGACAAAGAATAAAACAAATTATTAAAATCGAAATATATCTCGTTGCATTGTGCGAGTATTCTTCTAGTACAGATTAATATTAATTAAAAAAGTTTGTGTTTGAAAAGCTTTTTATGAACGAAAATAACGCATTTTTTAATTGGAAAGGAAATGTTTAGAGAAAAATAGATTTTTTGCATAAACTTCTTCTTTAAAATCTTACTAAATAAGTCATTAATTCATTATCAAATAATTATATATAACTGATATCAAATAATCTATAAGTATTCTTAAACTTATTAAGCTGTTAAAAATACCTTCAACATAACCTCTAAATAAGAGTAAACTTTATTTTTGGTCCCTAAAGTTTAGAAAAAATTATAAAAAGTGGGACCTGAATTTTGATAAATCTATAAATCATTCTTATGATTTTCATTTTACTCTAAAAAGTAAAAATGATCCCTCGTCACTAACTACGTTTACTTTTTCTGTTGATGTTGAGAGTCATTAGATTTTGATAAATTCTAATGAAAACAATTTAAAATAATGTTGCAAGTCATATGTGAATTTACAAAAAGTCATATGTGAATTATATATGTTAAAATAAGCTACTAAAAGGGTGCTTCGGATTGCTTATGAAAACAACTTATTGACTTATTCCAGTGTGGCATCGGTAATAAGCACTTTTAAGTGTTTGAATAAACAATTTATATCGGTGCCAAACCGGTAATAAGAAGTTTTTAAAAAAGTTAAACTCTTCTGACTTATAATAAGTTGATAAGTGTTTTTATAGAAAATCATAAGTTGTTTCAAATAAGCAATCTCAAACACTCCCTAAGTATAGGTAAATAAGGATAGTGACTTTTGTTGATAAATGTTTAATAAACGACACGTTAAGTTTCAAAGTACATACTTTCGGACTTGAACTTGTGACTTCCAAATGTCGTCTTAACAAATTTTCAATTTGACTAGAAAAGATTTTAGAGCCTACTTTTTTGCTTAGTCTCTCAAAGACAAAATGCGCTATTGTGTGTGAGAGAGCAGAGAAATGTCCTTGTTTTTTATGAAAACTCCGTTTGGTAGTTTGTACTTGTTTGTCGATATGACGATTATAATCATTATATATATATATATATATATATATGTTTCGGTCAGTGATTTAGGGGCTATTTACCAACAATAGTTGATAAGCGCTGTCTGAAATAAGAGGTCTGATCAGAGTAAGTGTTGTTTGTAAAAAACTGTTTACCAAGTATACTGGATTTGGTGCTGACTAATAAAAAAATGACCATTATAACCCTATATGTGATGAAGTTTTTAAACTGAAGCAACTATTTACCAAATTTTATGTATGAATAATTGTTGAAATGACAAAAATACAAATTTCATAATTAAAATATATTAAAACGGAAAAATAAATTGAATTTAAACATAATAATTATCGCAAAGATCTTAATTTGAAATATTAGACAATAACTGATTTGCAATCTGATAGCGCAAACTAGTCATATATTCACTATCTTGATAACTCCACTGCATTTCATCGACTTCTATGTCATTGTTTCCTTCATGTTGTTCTTCGTTGGCGGTAAACATGGTGTTCTCATCGTGTTCCATGAATAATTGGTCTTGGATATTGCATTTCCTTATAAAGTTATGAATCGCGAAATAAGCAATCACCACATCTTTCTGTATTGAAAAAGGATAAGGAGCAATTTGCTTCAGGATTGGAAATCTTGCTTTTAAGACACCATACGCACGCTCGATAACATTTCTAAGTTGTGCATGAGCATGATTGAACATTTCTTCTTTTGTTAATGCACGTCTACGTCGAAAATCTGCTAACCAATACCTCGTATTGCCACTTCTTATCAAGGTAAGAGGCTCTTATTCAGTAAGTGTCAATAAGAAGCAAGTAAACACCCCCTTAGTTTTTCTTTTGAATCACCAACTTGAGTGAAATGTGAGGGAGTGCTCAAGATTGTATGGAATTGCGAATCAACTGTTAGAAATCACTATGTTCTAGTGAATCGCCTCTTGGAATTAGCCTTTAGAAAGTGAAAGAAGACAAATGATCCAAACACTGAAGCATAAACCACTCTAAATAAATACTCGAGTTGATTCTTCCTCTCAAACTATTTTTCCCGCACTTATGTTGAACTAATTTTATATTTTGTCGGTTGTTTTACATTTTTGTTTCTGAAAAAAGTCGACAAGATCGTAAAAATTGGTACAACATATTTATCATCCTCTAGATTGGCCAATAGACAAGGATGGACCTACTTAAGAACATATGGTGGCACCGGCCACAACTTCATGGCTCCCACGTAATAGAAAAAACATTGCATTCCTTAACGATGCTACAAATATCATTTCTTGAAACTACGATAGTAATACAAGTTTCTTGTGGCAGAGCTGATTTGCTTGGCCTTTTCCCCCTTCTAAGTCTGGGTTTGAATTTGATGTTTATCAATTGTCCAAATCTTTTTGTTTTTAATTTTGGGTTTATTTTGATAAAAATTAGAATAAAAAGCTATAAGAAGATTCGAACATGGGATTACATTGCAAAGCAAGGAACCAACCACCAGACAAATGTGAAAATTATTTATAAATTTGTTTTTTGTAGTCGAATGGTGCCACCACTTGTATGGGTTTGGGATGAAATGAAATAAATAATAATAATTAAAAATATTTATAAAATTATACATCAGTGCTCAATTACAACCTGTTGTAAAATAAAAACGGCATAGTCATAAAAATGACATATTTTATTTTGTTTATCTTCTCCTTAAGAACATGGATTTTTCCCTTTCATTTGCTTTCTTTCCGTTTCATCTCAAAAACACAAAAAATATCTCTTCGGTTTCTTTTGTTCCCAAATTTGAGAACACAACATCGAAAAATAGCAGCGTTCGAAGGTATAATTCGTATTATTACATCTTTATATTATAATGTAAAGGAAATTACGAAACAATGAGTATAATTAGTAAAAATATTGATTATAATTATTAAATATATGAACATATATTTTTTTAATAAAATAAAAATATATATCTTGATTATAATTAGTAATAATAATATCGATGTTTTATTACTATGATCCAAAAGATTTCGGTTTTATTCTTATAGAATTGTTTTTTAATTTGATTAATAATTAAAAGAAAATAATTTTTAAAAATTAAATATCATGAAAAATAAAAATTAATTTTTATTTAAATATTTTAAGTAATTTTCAATTGAAGGTCATAATTTGTTTGCTTTGATATTTTAATTATTATTTTTAAATATTATTTCTAGTCTACTCTATATATTATATCAAAAAGGCATACGTCACAAGCGTCGATATGTCCGAGTGGTTAAGGAGATAGACTTGAAATCTATTGGGCTTCGCCCGCGCAGGTTCGAACCCTGCTGTCGACGACTCCTTTTTGAAGAACAATTTTAGCGAGGGGTAGTTTTGTCTTTTCACCTTCTCTCTCTCAACATCCTTTTTCTACTTTGGTCCCTTCAAACTAATTTTTATTTTATATCAGATTTAGTCCCTCAACTATTATATTTTATAACTTATTTGGTCTCTCAAACTATTTTTTATTTTAAAATGGATTTGATCCCTCCTTTTAATCAGTAAAATTTGATGGCACAAACATATACTTTCTAAATATAATTTGCAAAATAATTAAATAAAATTTGAAACTTAGATTTCACCGTGAAATATTTTATATTTCAGATACATTACTTCCTTGAAACTCTTTAGCTTAAATAAAATATAATTATGATATATGTTTTATTTTAATTAGTTGAAAATTAAAAAGTTTTAAAACCAGTGAAAGTTGAGAGAAAGGAGAATGAGTAGAATAAACAAAATCGTCCCTCACTTATAGAAATGTAAACTGAAAGAAGATAGTGAAAGAGACTATATTCGTTATAGAAATAAAACTAAAGAAACATCCCTTGTTAATTATGTAAACCATAGGGACCAAATCTGTATTTAGCTCTAAATATTTTAATTAAATATCCTAAAAATCTCGTTTTTATAATTTGATACAGGGTTGGGTTCACGTGAGATCAGTCTGTTTTCGTGAAACCTGTGAGACCACTTTTTTACACTTGAAATTTCACAACAAAACGTTGTGAAAAAAAAATCGAACCTTTACAGTAAAAACACTGTGAAGGTTACCTTCACAGATTTTTTGTTGTGAAGTTTCAAGTGTAAAAAAATGATCTCATGGGCCTCACGAAAACAGACTGATATCACGTAATCTGAAGTCATTTTTCACATGTTATCAAAATATTACAATAGTTAAATACCTAATACTTTTAATAACATACAGCTATTCTTTTTTTCAGATCAATACTATCTTGTAACCATTTTTGATTGATAAATAGATATATATTTAAAATAAAGGTGGTATTTCTTTGTGATTACTTAAAAGATATTAAATTTTAATAAAATTATATTATCCAAATGAGCATTTAAGATAATGTTCGATATAATTCTAAATATTACATTATTCATCGGGAAAATCTGAATATGACATTATCATGATCGGTGTTCGAAAA